CATGCTCTACACTACGTTAGAAAATAAACTCCAACCCCAAATCCCCAAACAAAAGTACAAGCAAGCAAGGAATCAGAGTATACAAACAATAGCGGAAGCAATAAATAAGCACCAAAACAATCAACCTAGCAGTCTACATGCAACAATCAACTTAAGTCTACATGCAACAATCAACCTAAATAGAATACAATCTACGACTCGATCTAAACTCCACACAAAGCGGTTCCTAGGGCCCTAAACGTATAGGATGTTTCCCCCACATCACCACACACTAGGAACACCATGACCCTTGGCCATCACGAAGACCCACCAAGTTCAGTTCCCTCATCGATCCCTGATCGAGTTACTCCGTTGAGTAACGCCACGGCCATGGCAGCTACCCAAGTACTCTCTCTGAGCCTTCCCACGTCTATGGGTCTAGGGTGTCTCTCACGCGTATCCACGAGGGACTCTCCTCCTATTTTGGGGAAACACCGACACGCACCTACATGCCTTGAAAAGACATAAATTTCCGCATGCTACGTAACAAAACAAGTATACACCGGAGGTTCGATATGAACACGATGATACATGTTTTCACCACCACAAACAACACGCAAAAGTTTTCTTAAGAACGTGCCAGAACAACCGCACATGCACGTCTTAAGACAAACCTAACAATCCGGATGAATTTTACTTAGCAAAATCATGAGGTGTTCACCACCGAACCTCACAAGGTTCCGATCTAGACATGCAAGATGGTCACTAAGTAACACATCCACACTACACGCTAGATCCCTTCTTTCCACCGTTTACTTTAACACATGCAAGGCGATTTTGGCACAAGACATGGTTATGTACAACCGGCCATTCGATCATAGACATGCAAGATATTCACTAAGTGAGATATCCACACTACACGCTAGATCTCACCATTTTCTACTTATTAAAACATGCAAGCGTCCGAAGACGTTTACACGCTAATAAGTCTCTACAAAACACGTTAGCCCAAACAATACAACAAATCCTATGTCTACCCAAATGAATGGAAAATAAACATAAGAAAATGGTTTGAGGGTGATATACTCATCACCACCCTCAGCCATGAACTCACAGATTACGTATCCGGTTACGGCGATCTCCTAGATCCTGTACGTCACCGTAGCTGCTCCACACACACTAGCCTAACTCTCACTCACACTCTACTAGTAGCCAACCTTAGATTCACGTTATGGTGTAACAGAATCACTCGGAAAGACTAACTCCTAACATTCTCACTACTTAAAATTTTTGACAAGGTTTACTAAGAAAGAAAACATGCCTAAACATCTAAGGAAGAGTCCTATTTATTGGGGAACTGATGTGATGTTAGATTAAAAATCAAGCTACCACACTTGATATTTGTCCACCGGAAGTCGCCATTTATCACCGTTCTTGCCATGTGTCATCGCGGCCAATGCATATCCGCCGTTCTCCGCTCTATTATGCAGCCGTCTTTCAATGATGAGGTGATGCATAACAAATCCTTTGCCCCCACTACACTTCTCTAGCCACTCAGATTTCATGCAAGCCTCTATGCTCCCTTAGTGCTCAGTAATGATTACGTGAAACACCATGATGATGTTTTTGGTCACATCATGATGGTTCAATGAATCTTTCTCCAGCCAATCACGTGTCACTCCAAGATTTTTCTTGTCTCCATGATGTTTCCTAGCCACGCCTTGATCAGATTATCAAGCCTCCTTCTTTGTTTTGATGCGTTACGCGATACACATCCCGAATAGCCGTTTCTGCTTGTTTTGCCGAGAAATTCGTCCCAAGCCACAGAAAAAAATTTAAAATCACGAAACTAATTTTGAGCACTCCTAAGACATTGCTAAAACTCCTCCAAGTGTTCTCCTAATTTTAGTAAAAATGTCGGGCGGTGGCGTGCACCTCACACGCAGTGGTTGGCCGCTACGTGTCCGCCGGTAGGTGGTCCACGAACTGTTCTGGCCTGCCTTATCCAAGAAGTGTGGAATTCAACCCCGACCTTCCTAAGCATTTCCCAAGCCCATGTCTAGTTGATAAGATCTTCCGATTCTTTACAGATCGCTCGTGCCGATCATATTACCGAGACGCGGTATGGTCCGGTCTTGTCCTCCGTGTCGTCTTCTCTTCTCCTTGATGTCTTTGGGTTTTGTCTTGATGAAAACTCATGTAACCATCTTCTAAGACTTGTGTAACTCTCCTCCATCCTTGCCACACGACTTGGTTGAAGAAGTCTCTGTCCCCATACTTCAAATTGTGATAACTCGAGTCTCGAGCCATTGTCTTCTTTTGACGTGATTTAGCTTGCCTAAGCTAAATTTTTTCTTGACCGCAACTTTGTTTTTTCACCGCATCACCGTTGCCTCACCGCATTTATAGGTCTTGATACGGAGTATTACAC